GAAGGCATTTAATTATTTTTCGTTTCTTGTCGAAGACGAAAAATATATAAACAAATATAAACATATAAAATTTTTTACTTGGATTTCGTTTATCATAATTCTTCATGCATTCTTGACAAATATTAATAATGTCTTGGTCGTTTGGAATCCTAACCCGAGATTCATTTTTAAACCAGTCTATCATATTTAACTTTTTTAATAACGGCACCTGTTCGAGTAATATATTTGTTATAAAAATCTAATTTATATTCGATTCCTTCTTGTTAACGTTTATTGGTTGACATGAACAATTTTTTCCATAAATTTTCGTACAAACTAAAGCACACCAAACATTTTTGGACAAGCATTCGAACGAAAATTTAAAATCGTTGACATTATTGTTATGACAATCGAAAATGATCATTTTATTATACGGATCATGCCGAATCAATAACTTAACCGATCGGTTGAAAAATCATTCGGCAAATTTTTACAGGTGTCCCAGGAATAATGATAATAGCTATAAAATATTTAGCCATTGAATACTTCGGATTGGCTCCGGATTCAACCCGAAATTTCGGATTCAGTTCAATCCGAGTTTTTGAATCCGAATCGGAACACTAATAGTGAATATTAGCGTTCGTTAAAAGCTGGAAATGGCTTTTGTAGCAGTTTTTTATTGGTGAAACATTCGGTTCTAAAAAATTACTTTAAAACTAGAGATTGTACCCGTCAAGAAAATCTCTACCGGGCATTATTAAATTATCCGGTTATCCGGTAAATTATTATAGCCATATAGTAAAATGTCTACCCGGGTACAATCTCTATTTAAAACATATAAATAAGTTACCCAGACAATTGATTTACATCAGCCAATCAAACAAATGTCTGACCATGACTAACCAAACTATAAAAAAAAACACCCCTAAATTCACATAAGCAGCCACATTTATTATCTAATAATTATGTATATATTTATTAACTATGCATTTTTAATCATTCTTTAAATCAATAAAATTTTCAATATTGGTTAAACCAATTTACAATTTTTATTTTATTCATAAAGCATCACATAAGGTAAGTGCGAATTGAACATATTACAAGGAAACGGAATTTTTTGCTAATTTCTTTCACTAGGCAAAGTTGTCCAAAATTCCATTTTTTACTTACCCTTGGTGCAGAAATTAATTTTCTGCGCCAAAACGTACAACGAAAAAAGCTTTTAATAAAAAGCTATCCACATTGTGCCAAAATTTGAGGGTAAATAAAAAATGGCACTTTGAACAATTTTGCCAAGTAAAAGTAATTCGATTTGCTTAATAAAAAAATCTCGTTTTAAGTGAAAACGATTTAAATAAAGAAAAATCGAAGGTCACATGAAAGAGAAATGTATGAATAAAAAGATCGTCGATTTACATACCAAATTAAAAATTGTAGTAACGTCACATAATTTATATCAAGCTCGGTTTTTTTCGTAAAGCAGGTTAAAATTTGTATAAATATAAAAAATATATATAATAAAAATAAAATCTTTACTAAACTTTAATAGTACTGTAGGAAGTGTTAACTTCACCATAATACTCACCTTATCGTCCATCAGCAGCAAATTGAGAGATATTGTAATAAATTTGACTCAAATATGAAGAAACAAAAAAAATCAAACTAGAGTTTGGAACGGTTTTATTTTCCATATGTTATAACCGGGTTTAATCGGGTTTAACATATAAAAATAAACCGATTCCAAACTCTAAATCAAACTTTGTTTGGCAACAGCAAATATAATTCTCAAAAAAGGATTTAGTGTTGCCTAGAATCAATTATCGTCCTTTTCGATTTAGTTGGATCGATGAGTTTTGCAGATTTTTTTTTTTGTTTGAATATGCCTGCATATAATAATTGTTTGTAATTGTTAGTTGTTTATTATCATAACATAACAGGCAACTAACAATTACAAATAATTATTATATGCAGAATATATGTATATATGAATCCCAGATTCCCGGATTCAAAAAATCAACTAAATCGAAAAGAACGATAAATAATGCAACCTCAAATATTTTAAATGATTCAACACAATATAGTGTAAACAAATTAATTGATGAATTGTTCGGGAAATTTTTTTTTTGTTCACATAACCATAAAATTTGAAAAATGACCTGACAACCTGGATTTTAATTTAATTTCAAAAAAAAACCCCCGGATAGTAAATAGTTAAAGTTAAATTTGCAGAAATTGACCCAGCCGAGTAATGAGAACCAATTTATTAAGTTTGTATGGCCTGATATTCCATATTGATATGGTTATCGCTATAAATTTTACCAAAATAAAATTAAATAAATAATTAATCAAACAATATGCTATTTTATTTTATTTTTAATTGAGCCTTTAAACTAGCTTTACACTGAAATAGAGCTATTTTTAATTTTTTTTAAAAAATATAAAAAATATTAATAATCGAAACCAAAACAATAATCATTAGCATTCTAAATATTTTTTATTAAAAAAATATAGCTCTATTTCAGTGTAGAGCTAGTCTAGAGGTTCAATTTTTTTTTAAAAAAAATAACATACTATTTAGTTAATTATCTATTTCAATAAATCTAATTTTTTGGTTTAATAAAATTTATATATGTGCAACGACAGGGTTGGGCAGCCCTCTATGTCCAGTGAATTTCACTGGACACTGGACATATAAATTTGTCGGACATATATAGAATAAAAATTAGTGATAGATTATTGTCCTAATTATTTAGTTTGCTTGACTCCGAACTTATTTCTAAAAAAAATTACAGACAATTTTAGAAATTTAAATTTTATTGGACAACCCACTTGTCCAACCCTGTAACACAGGAAATCAAAATCGTAAATAAACTAAGTGCGTAAAAATAGAAGTTTAGGATTAGGACGTTAGGGTTGTGAGCTTTTGCGATAAGTTGGAGTTTCTTATATGTAAAATTTCATCCCCGTTATTTTTTATTAGTATTTTCGCTTTCGCACGTGTTCGGATTTTATGCCGGGCTGATGCAGAATATCCGAAATTTGTGTTCTCTGATTGGCCATTTCCTTTTTAGAGGTTCGTATTACCCGCGCAAATAAGTGGATGCTGTGTTTGATAATAGGCCGTTACACACCCTAGCGTTACATATTAACGGACCTTTGAGTAAATCGGATTTAATAATGATCTACAAATAGGAAGAATTGTGAATATCCGGATAAACGTTTAACAGTTCCGACCTCCACTATGGACTTCACTACCACTTTTCTTTTTAATGCACAGATATGCACAATTATCGTTACGCATTAAACATCATCTGCATATCTCTTGTCGGTAGCCACTCGTTTTCTCATTTTCCTGACATCACATAAGATTAGGTTTAGCATTTATTTAGTTGCAGGTTTATTTAGTTAGTAAATCATCACCTGTGTGATGTCGGGTTAATGGCCTATAGAGGAAGTAACAAAGATGTAGTCATCTGTATAGCCTCCCTTGTCCTATTCCTCTACGAGTATTTACAATGAAATAGATGTAAATTAGTATGCATGTACGTACGTACAAATAATTCCGAAACTAGAAACTTGGGGAAATTAATAAATTCAAAAAATGAATTACCGTCACGTGTACCCTATGGTGTATACCCTCTAACAGTTTTAAGAGCCAGTTGGTGATTTATACTCGGGTACATACTATATGTATCATCCCAGGTAGATATAGTAAAACATACCCTATAAAAAAAGTTTGTTCTGTTTTTGTTCCGTTTTTGTTTAGCTTTTGTCGGTATTGTTCAAAAAATGTTCAGAACGGAGTCATTATCGTAGTAAAGGCAGGACAAAAATCGTACATATTTTTATGATTGAAAAATTTAAAAATGTACAATTTTTGTTCTGTTTTTATATTATAATGACTCCATTCTGAACTTTTTTTGAACAATATCGACAAAAGCTGAACAAAAGCAGACAAATTTTTTTTATAGGGATATTGTCTCAATACGGCGTACCCCTCATATAGAGGTACTCCGGGTATGCGTGCCCGTATTTTACGATAACTTGAAAAAGATAAAATTTACAGGTCCCAGGTTGATCGTGACACCGAACCAGTATTAAGTAAGACAAGCCAATTATATTTTTTATAGTATACACATAAAATTTATTTAGCGAAGGATGACATTATTGGTAAATTTTGGATTAACCTGAGATTTTTTCTGAAAATTAGGGTATGTTTATAGTATCCAAGGTCTTATTGAATAGTACTGTACCTATCCTTGTTGAATATTACAGTAATACAACCGATATCATTTGTTGTAGAAAGTATTACAATAGATTATTTGGGGAATGCTATAAACAAGTGTGTGACTATTTTCATCGTACGTGTATGTAATTACGTACGTACGTGCGTACGCTATAATTCGTTATGTAATCGAGTACAACATGAAATAATAATTCACAGAAAAGAGGAATAAAGAAAATTATTAAAGAGCAAAAAGAACCTTTTATGTTTATGAATTTAAAGCTTTAATTACCTACTATAGAAATAAGTTTTTTCTGGAATGCTTTTCTAAACGCGTGCAATACGGTACTAATTTTATGTGGTTGTTTTTGTCATATTACTGTAAATGAGGTAGCTTCCATGAAAAACATCTTCAATCTATATTCAAAAAAGGTAATAGATATACGTAATTGTTTAAAAAAAAAGAATCCGAGAACACGGAAATATCATAATCCACGATATTTATTAGTGATAAACAAATACTCCTCATGTTGACTTGGATTTTTTAGCGTAACATTGAAAATAAATCCCGGAATAACCATTTTTCCGAGCGTAGAACGACAACTATACCAATATCGTTTAAACTGGTAATTTTAAATACATACGTACTTACGCACGCTAATAACTTTTGCCGATTCAATTTTATATAAATCTGCATTATAAACTTAAATTATGTACCTTTTCTCATAAACAAAAAGTAAATTATAGTACATACTATTATATAAAACAAGTTCAACATTAATAATTTAGTTACCTAATGTCTCAAGACGAAAATAAACTTCAGGCATCTGAATCTACAAATGTAATAGAGGATTCAAAAGTTAAAGATACACCTCAATTATCCCCCGAACCTGCAAATGCCGTAGAAAAAGAGCATGCAAATGTGGTAGAAACAGTGATCGCAAATGCTGCAGAAAAAGATCATAAACCTCAGCTATCTTCCGAAAATAATGTAGCAGTAGAGATCTCTGAAACTAATTATGATCATAGAACACAATACACCATGAATAAAACTCAAATTTTCCTAGTTTTTATTGGGTATATATTACAATTGCTTTGATCAAACTTTTAAATAAATAAAATGCTAATACGAGTTAGTTGAATGCAGTCTCTCACTAGCTATATTTTTAGCGTCTTTGGATCAAACTATAATTGCCACTGCTTTACCGGCTATCGCATTAGAATTCAAAGCCCTCGATCAAATTTCATGGGTCGGAACGGCTTATTTACTTACTGCGGTATATTTGATTTAATGTCTAATTACGTTTATTATTATCATGTAATTTAACCAGATGTCAGGTAGATGTCAGGGTAATGATGCGAACAAGCCAAGCCATGTGATAATACGTTAACCAATTAGTAAATCCGATTCGGATCACTATCCGGGTCGACTTTGCCGGCAGTGGTTTTATAATCATGAAAATAATCATGAAAATATTAGCATTAACATTAATATAAAATTCATATCAATAGACTGCATTACAACCAGCATATGGTAAACTTTCAGATATATTTGGTCGAGTGAGTGTCATTATATTATTGTTAAATAATATTTAAATTTCCATATAATAATTAAGATCTGTAATTTAATGTAGAAACCTGTCTTCCTCTCAGCAATATTTTTATTCGAACTTGGATCCCTTTTATGTGGTCTATCCGTTAATATGGTAATGATTTTATTACGTAATTCTTAAATAATTTCTTATTTTCTTACATTTTAAGCTAATTTTTTTTTTTTTTTTATAGACCATGTTAATCATAGCACGTGCTGTTGCAGGTGTAGGGTAATTTCTTTAATTCCAATTCAATTTAAATTTTAATTTTTAAATTTGTTAATAATCGTTATTTTGGTTCTTTTCTCGGAATTAATAAAATTATTTGGTTATTAGTGGGGGTGGTCTCATAGGGTAAGATTTTTATTTATTTATTTACTTTAAGAATTTAAGTTAAATTATTTTATCTCATTTTATCAATTTTTTTAGAATGGTATATATTATTATTAGTGAAATAGTTCCAATCAAAGACCGTGGAAAATACCAAGGAATGATGGGTGGTTGTTTTGGTGTCGCATCTGTTGTGGGTCCACTATTGGGCGGTGCTTTTACTGACAAGGTTACATGGAGGTTTGTATTTATAATTATTTAATTATTGTTTGATTGAAATATTTTTAACATACTTGTAGGTGGTCATTTTATATTAATCTTCCTCTAGGTGTCATCACCTTTATCTCTGTTGTCTTTCTATTGCATCTTCCAAGTCCTACCAGCTCCATTTGGTCAAAACTTGCGCGCATTGATTGGTGGGGTGTAATAACTCTAATTTCTGCTACCATTCTCTTATTATTACCACTTAATTGGGGTGGTTCAAAATATGGTCAGTTAACCCTTAAAAATATTTTCTTGTTTTATTTTATTAGTTTGACCGCATGTTGATCTTTATATTTTTCTTAAATTTTAGCATGGAGTGATCCTATTATTATAGTTTTATTATGTTTAGGTGGTATTGGCTTTGTTTTGTTTGTTTTTATTGAAGCAAAGATTGCTGATGAACCAATTGCTCCTCGTAAATTTTCATTTTCTTTATCATTAGTCATCCTTTTCTAGTTACATTATTATATTATTATTAATATTTTATTTAATTTATGATTTATTAGTTTATTTATTCAAAAATCCTAAGATAGCTGCATGCTTCATTATAAATCTCTTTCATGGAATGGCATTTTTTGGTCTGCTGTACTTTGTACCACTTTATTTTCAGGTTGTCAAATCTGAATCTGGTAAATAAGCAATTTTATCATTGCTTATATCTCTGATACTATTAATATTATATTGCTTATAAATACTTTTATTATTCTATAGCTACCACTTCAGGTTTAGAACTTCTCCCTCTCATCTTGAGTATAGTTATTATGGCTATACTTTCAGGCCAACTAGTTTCAAGAACTGTCTTCTTTTCTTACGGTGCAATTTGTGTTTTTGGAAGTATTTTAATGATTGTAGGATCTGGATTAGTTATTACATTTTCAGAATATTCAAATAGAGGTCAAATAGCTGGTTACTTATTAATTGCCGGTTTTGGTATTGGTTTAATCCTACAAATGACTGTATTAGCTGGACAAGGAATTGCAGAACCTAAGGATCTTGCTGTAGTTACTTCATTGTTAGCATTTTTCAGAACCAGTACGTAATATATATATATTATAATAGTTTATTAAATTGGAATTTTAATTACTTACCTAATACTTTTTTTTTTTAAAGTGGGCGCAGTTTTTGGTGTAGCTATCCTAGGCACAGTTTTTAATAATGTGTATAATTCAAATTTACCCCCAAATCAAGGGTCTCTACAAGGATTTGATCCATCTGCAACTGGCCAAGCTTCCCCATCTGTAATTCATGATTTTGTAATAGCTTTAGATTCTGCATTTAAAGTTGTGATTGCTTTTTCTGGATTAACTTTTATCTCGTCACTGCCGTTGATAAATATTAAACCACATAGAGATAACAAACAAGATGAGAGCTTACTATCTCTAGCATAATAATTTATAAATACAGCCAGACCTCTCTAAATGCATAGCCGTGGGCGGCCAAAAAACTTGCATTTAGGGAGATAAAAGGCTAGAAGTATTATTGAATTGGGGCCAAACAAGGCATGCATTTAGAAAGACTGTGCATTAGGGAGGTCTGACTGTAGATGTTTTATTATTTATATAATAGATAAAAGGTCCGGAACATAAAGTTAAAAAATAAAATAATTTACTTTTCATAATTAATTTACTTATTTTATTTAATTTATTCTCACTATTTTTATTTATTTTTTTAATTAATGTCGCGGATTATCGTGAAATCAGATCATCATGAAATTTGGCGGTCTTGATTTGAAAATATAAGCCCTACCACAATCTACCTATACTCTTTTATTAATAACTCTAACCTTTAACTATACTTACATAAAATAAATCTAAACTTCACGATGAACCGATTTCACGATAATCCGTGACAATATTTAACCAGAATACTCTATGAAAAAAAAAAGTTTGTTAGGTCCATGTTTTTTTTTTGACTTAATATTACGATTTAAAGGAAATCATTCTGCAAACAATAAAGAGAAGTGCTTGTGAACAAAGTCGGTAATAGAGTAAATTGGTAAAATGAGATAATGTATCATTTTTCATGGAATTGCTCTAATTGGTAAAAAAAATTTAAATCCGCATTTCACACTATGGATTTTTGGCAAAATCGATAATGAAGATTATTCATATCTGCTGATTTTGGTAAGGAAATCCAATCTCCTCAGTGACGCATCTCATTAGGCATATGAATTATAAATGATTGACGCACTCTGACCCGGGAAGATTGAATTTCCTTATCCAAACCAGCCGATATATTTCAATTACCGCCTCTCTCAATGTGATTGGCAGTGATCGAAGTACTATGATTAAGTGAAGATTTCATAGTGCGAATTGCGATATTAATTTTTTTCGTTACGATGACAAACTCACTTGACAAACTACCGTATTTTCGCGAAATAACAGGCCGGGGCGTTATTTAGAGTAATGGTCCGAATTAAGCTTAATTTAAGCCAAAATTTGAAATTACTCTCCGCGCGTTAGCGAAAATACGGTAATCATTTTCCACTAATTAAAAAATTTTCCTTGACTTATTAGTAGAGAGTGTCTTTATGCAGCCAAAATTTTGTAGATCATAGAAATTTTCCATGAAAAAATTTGATGCGATGTTGAAAATTTTCTGACGCACTTTGTTAGTGAAGTGTCAGCGTATGGGTTTGAAACCAAAATTCCGGATTCGAAGCCCTAGATACGGGTTTGAGACCCAATGTTTGGGTTCAAGGCTGAAATATATAATACAATGTCAAACTAAATAGCGTATTTTAATCTTCTCTACCCACTAAACTATCATCCTTAATAATCCACCATCATAATTCCGAATCATTAATAAACATCCATCCCACATAACCTATGCTTGTAACCCTGAGTTAAGTCTCTACCTGGCTACAAAAGCTGCAGCTAAGGTTTATTCGGCGATAGTGGGGAAGATCCTTTCATTCCTGGTTTTGCGTGACGTTGTGCATCTACCTTATGATCTACCACTTTACATAAGGCGCTTTTCCTCATAAGTATGATTTTAACATGTTCACTTTCCCCTACAAGTACGCAACATACAAATGCACTTTTTCTCAACAACGTGTTTTTATGTAAGATTGACTGTACAATTGACTATTTTTAATTTGAGGGAATTTGTATACAAACCATATAGACCTTTTTTGTTGAATAGAATGAATGCTAATGACCTTTTGGGGGGTTAGAATTAATACTAATATTGCTCTTTTTTCGCGTAACCATTTTGGCGTAAAGGATAATAAAAAAAAGAAACCAAGTACAGAGAACCTCTCTAAGTGCACCTTCTTCGGGACTATTTAAAAATGTGCACTTAGAGAAGGTGTGTATTTATAGAAGGCAAAATGTATAGTAATATTATAAGCTGGGAAGTTGGTGAAAATGGTTATATATATATTTATTTATTACGATTGTAGCTGGAGTCTTTGCGTTTTTAGGTTCAGATAGGACTAAAATTAAATTTTATATTTGGGAACATAAATTTAGAAAATTATAAGAATCACAAAATGATCAAATTTGTAGATCGCTGCGCATATTCATACAATCACTTGATTTTTGTCCGATTGTAAAGAGCCGAATAAGCACTTTGCTGAAACCTTAAAAAATTTAGCAATGCAATTATATAGTTATAATATAATTTACATATTGTTATTTGCATTGTTACTTTGCATTGTACAACGCATTGTAAAAGCATAGTTTTATATTGCTACAATAATATAACAATACATATATTATACTTATAAATTGCTTATTTATTATTAAAAAATTATTATTATAATAATATTAAAAAGGCATATTGCCAAGGTGATCGACCAATCAAATATAATCAAATGATCCCATGATTCGAATATTATATTTTACATCATAATGTTATTATATAACAAAATTACATATTGAATATTTTTTTACAAGAATTTTTAGAACTCTAATCCTAGCTCTAAACTACAAACTTAATATCAAACTCTACCTTCAACATATTTCAGAAACGAACTTTAAAATAGCCGACTTAAACAAAATAATGAAACCAACAAAAGACACCAAAAATGACGACTCTAGCGATGACTCTAAAGAGAACACCAAAAAAAGGACAACGAAGCTAACTAACGCACAATACCGAAATGCAGGTTTAACCACAACTACCTAAAGACACCAAGACAACAACTCCAACCAAAAACGATGATATATCAAAAGCTGTTACAACTCCAAAAGCAATGAAAAACATAAGTAACAAAATATTGAATGGCATGAAAGACATCAAAAGGACAAACCAAAGCATTGATTCCAGAATTGGCAACTCCAAAGACAATAGCGAAAAAGGTACCAGGAATGATACCAAAGTTACAGCAACTCCAAAAGCGATGAAAATTACTGAGACAGCAATACACTAAAATCCACAACGACTCCAAAAGCGATGTGAAAGCAACAAGAGTTACAAAAAGCAAAACAAAAGGAAAAAACATAATGAAGATTAGTATGAATCTAACAAAAAAAACAAACAAACAAGCCTGATCAACTTTATAGTGATCAGGTAAATACACCACCTAAAAAAAAAGTACCAGGAATGATACCAAAGCTACGGCAGCTCCAAAAACGGCGAAAATTGCTGAGACAGTAATACACCAAAATCCATGATGACTCCAAAAGTGACGCAAAAGCAACAAGAGTTACAAAAAGCAAACTTAAAAAAAAAACATAATGAAGGTTAGTATGAATCTAACAAAAAAAAAAAAGAAGCCTGATCAGCTTTATAGTGATCAGGTAAATACACCGTCAAAAAAAAAGGTAAGAAATGATACCAGAGCTACGGCAACTCCAAAAGTGACGAAAATTACTGAGACAGCAATACACCAAAATCTACGACGATTCCAAAAGCGATGTGAAAGCAACAAGAGTTGCAAAAAGCAAACCGAAAGAGAAAAACATAACGAAGATTAGTATGAATCTAACAAAAAAAAAAAAAACAAGCCTAATCAACTTTATAGTGATCAGATAAATACACAGCCTAAAAAAAAGCATCAGAAATGATACCAAAGCTACGACAACTCCAAAAACAGTGAAAATTGCTGAGACAGTGATATACCAAAATCCACAACGACTCCAAAAGCGATGCGAAAGCAACAAGAATTACAAAAAGCAAACTGAAAGAAAAAACATAATGAAGGTTAGTATGACTAACAAAAAAAAAAAACAAGCCTGATCAGCTTTATAGTGATCAGGTAAATACACCACCAAAAAAAAGGTACCAGGAACGATACCAAAGCTACAGCAACTCCAAAATCTACGATGACTCCAAAAGCGACGCGAAAGCAACAATAGTTGCAAAAAGCAAAATGAAAGAAAAAAAACACGAAAGTAAAAGAAAAAAAACCTGAAATGACAACTCTAAAAAACAATTCCCTAAGCGATGCGAAATCAACAGCAACTACAAATCGCAACAAAAGAAACAGAATGAGAATAAAACGAAAGTAAGAACTAGAAAATACAAAAACGTGCCAGATCAACTTTTATGTTGATCAGGCATGCACATGATACATTGGGTGTGCAATATACTATATAAATCAAAATTATATGTAGTCATATAATTAAACTTATTAATGAAGATTTTTTTGATAGATAATAATTTTATAGTGATTATAACAAAATTTAAATAGATGTACAGCCCTAACGGTTTGATAGATTTGGATAAAATTTTGCAAGGACCAGTATTATTTCTCTACGAATAAAGCT